ACCGACCATGCAGCTTATACAAATGTTACTTTGGACAAAAAAAGAAATGATATGGCCGATGTGAGTTCACTTTTATGTTACCAACTTTATATCACCTTTTTTTAAATATCATTTTTTTGGATAAAAATATCCTGCACGCCAGTTCCATATGCAAACTCATTTAAAACAACAAATCAGTGGCTGAAAAATTACATTTTTCTGTTGTTTATCATTGCTCGTTTCATTTAGTGATTATAGAAGTAGTTGTGGAAGATGATTGTGAAAACCTGCCTCATGATAGTAACTGTTTTTTTTTTATTATTTTCAATTATTTCATAAGAGTTTCAACACTGTAATTGTTATCGTTTGAGAACTTTTCTTTTTATGAGATCTTCTTTTAGGACATTGTGCGCTTAGCTACTGATATGGAAGAAGTGGAATTGGCGAAGGAAATTGCTGATACGTTACGAAACAACAAGCCGGACGAAATTGTCTATGGAGCTGCAAAGGCTGCACCAGGTGATGATCATATAACTTTCATATCATTGAACATGATGAACTTATTTTTTAGGGAAATGGGCTTCTGTTGTACGTCTACTGAATATCAAAACCGGAGAAGTTCTTTCACTCTTTGAACTTCCTCAAGATGAAGCTGCAAAATGGTAGAATAAGCCTAATTTGCTACTTTTATAAAAACAAATAATCCGATTTAATTCTTAAAAGCAGTGTCCATGCAAATCTAAGGATTTCGAGCTTTCAACAGATAATAATAACAGCGACTCTCTCACTAAAATTCCTCAAACAGGCAAATAAATCGCGCGGGAAAATGCTTCGAATGCTCAGGTCAGCCCGCGCCTCTTAGGTCACTCCGCCCATTCCGCCATTTTCTCCTCGCACCGTCTGTGTTTGGCTTCTCTCAGAAACATGGTTTTCTAGAGGCGACCAACAGTCGAGAACTTGACATCCATCTGCTACTCGTCCCCATCAATCCAGAGAAAGCCCGGAATCTTTTTTTTTTGGCAATTTCACGGTAATTGAAGCTGCTACCTATTTCGGCACGCAAAGTGGTTAAGAA